TGGGGTTTAGTGGAGTATTAATATTATAGGAATGTAGGAAATATTGTTTTACACCTAACTTACTTAATTTTTGTTTATTGAAAGTTATAGATAATATGCATTCGAAATTCGAAGTAATGGTTATGACGTAGCTGTGTTCTTCTAATTGTAATCGGACCCTACACTAATTCTTGTGTGATTGTAGTGTGTTCGGGGCAATTGTGGGATAATTTGAGAAAAATTGGGGTAGTGTGAGAAAGAACGGGATGTGTGTTTAGACAGTAGGTAGTAAAGGATTAATAGATAGAATAAAGTAAACATAAAAATAAAGAAAATAGATGAAATTAAGAGGTAATACAAATATGGATAACATGGGACAAATTGGTAAAGGGAAAGAGGATCAGATTCAAGTAGAAGTGCAGGAAGATGAAAAGACAAAGGAGAGTAAAAAATAAACGGAAATGTTGTAAATATTAATGGTAGAAATAACGGAAAGAATGGAAGACAATAAACAGAAAGTAAACGAGAAATGGCAAAATAAGTTAGATGCAAATACAAAGAAATTAAATAAGAATTAAGAGAAGATGAATAAGAAATTGGAGGAAATAAAGGGAGATTTAAAAACTTACATAGACAATCAGATTGAGGTAACAAAGAAAGAAAAAAGAGAAGAGATAATTGAGAGAAATATAGAAATTGAAAATTTACAAGATGACAGATTTAAAGTAATAGAAAACAAAGAAAAGGGGCTGGAAAGAGAAGTATTGGCACGAATAAAAGATGCTAGAGTAGGATTGGATCATCATGAAGGAAGAATAGCTAAATTAGAGGAATATAGAGATACAGTAGGATTAGGAAACTGTATGAATAGAAGGTTATGTGGAAAAAACGAGTATGCGATTATCAGCGATAAAATAAATGAGCCAAATATTATTTTTATTGGTAATATTAAGAACCTACACCCAAAAATTTTTTTAGATAATTATTGATGAAGGTACAATGATATAAAAATGTTAAAAATATATAAAGAATAATAGATGTCTTTAACGAGTGAAGCCTGATTGTGGTCGAATATAAAAAAAAAGAAATAGAGGATACAGAAAATTTTAGAAAACTGTTTATTGATTATTTTTGGGGGGAACTTAGACAAATGAAAAATCTTTTGATGCAAGGAAAATTTGAAAAGGTAGGGTATATGGACTATCATTTATATTCTGCAAACATATATGATATGGCACAATATCTTGATCCGCCAATGTCGGAAGCAGAAATTGTGACATGTATAGGAACACATTTTGTTTTGCAAAGAATAAGAAGCATGGATCAGTTAGTAAATTATCTAACGAGGATCCAACAGAATAATTTACTTCAATACAAAGGAGTACAAGATAATAGAAATTTTGAGAGATCAAATTCAAATCATGAATATAATGTAAGTAGCAATAGAAATTATAATAATAGTTATGGGGGTATAGGAGATACAATGGACAAGGACGAGAGAGAAGAGATAGACATTTTCATGATGGAAATGAATGGAGAAGAAATTATGATGGTAATAGAAAAATGGAGACAGAAATAAAGAGATACGAAAATGATAATAGTAATAATTATAGACTAGGTTATGACGGAACGAGGGAGGACAAAAGATAATGGAAATAAAGAAAAAGATACAGGAAGACGTGATAGAGTTGGTAACAGTCAAAGAGTACATACTCAAGAATATCCAAGATATAATCAAGACAGGGAAAATGGTCATTGGAAATTATTATATTTGGAAATGTCATTAGAACATTAATTTAAGAAAGATATTAAGAAATGTTATAGTTTAATAAGTTAGAGTAAAGGTAAAGAAAGATTTAAAAATATTATCGAAAAGAAGAGCAGGAGCCATAGTAGTAGAAGCAGGAGATGTAAGAGTGGTAAGCAGCTATAAACAAGACATAGGAAAACTGAAGGGATAAAACAGGAAGGAATTGTAACAACAGAAAGGACCATACGAGGTAGATAAATTGGAGTAGGTGCAGAAGAGTTATTGATGCAGGAAAAGGACCTGAATATTTTTTTTTTTTATTATTTAATTTCTTTTAGTTTAATTTATTTAGGCATTCATTTCTTTAAAATTATTATAGGAACTCATTAAAGCCACAACCCTTATACATGGTAGAACCATAACAGTACATTGACTGCACAGAACAATCAAAAATATTTAAGAGTGATTTTTGGTGTCCATTTTAAAGACTTGGGGATTTCTAACTTCAACATCCGGAGTGTTAAATCTAATTATAGGATGCGATTGGGCCCATGGACATTTTTGATGGGAACATCAAGTAATTTAACATTTCAAAAATTTTAGATATTTTGACGGTACTCCCGTTTGCATAAGAAAAGTGAAAAATACTATAAATAAGTACTTACTAAATTCAAAATTCTAGATGAGCTTGAATTTATTGTGATAATTATTGCTCTTCAATGCAAATAGATTTTGCTTTTGTTTGTATACATTAATGTTTCAGTGATTAAGCAGGAGTGACCACTAGATTAGTGATCCTTCATTAGCTGTTCTTATATTCCCATAAGGCTAAAAACATATTGGAAATTGCAAATTTATATAGACAGGTAGGTATATTTTTTGTCTTAATAGATATAAAGATATTCGTAGATAGTAGATTTTAGTAGATATATGTTTTCTTCGCCATTAAAGGGTACCTATCGGAAATTGTAAATTTATATAGGTACTTAGGTATATTTTTTCCTTCTAATATTATTTATTGAAGGTAGTAAGTGGCACAAAACCAATAGAACTAATAGTGTTAAATACATTTTAAAAAAGACAAATCTGTTTTTAAGAAAATTTTAGGACTGGTCCCAAAATTGAACCATGTGGCACTCCTTGTATTACTGGTAGAAAATTTGATATGTTGCCATTTTTTGTAAAAGTTTAATTTCTTACAGAGTAAGTCATGATCTAGGGTATCAAATGCCTTGCTTTAGTTAAGAAGAACCAAGCATGTTATATTTTCCCTTGTATCGGTTACTTTAAAAAATTATCGCTAATAGACAGAACAGTAGTAGTGGTAGTAAAGGTAAAGAAAGATTTAAAAATATTGAAAAGAAAAGCAGGAGTTATAGTAGTAGAAGCAGAAGCAAGAGTAGTAAGCAGTTAAACAGGAGGAAGGAAAACTTAAGGGATAAAAAAGGAAGGAATTGTAACAACAGGAAGGACCATAGGAGGTAGATAAATTGGAGTAGGTGTAGAAGAGTTATATAAGAAGGAAGAGTACTAGAAGATTTTTTTTTTAGTTTACATTTATTTAGGTATTAATTTCTTTAAAATTATTGTAGGAAGTCATTAAAGCCACAACCCTTATACAGGGTGGCACCATAACAGTACATTGAATGCACAAAATAACCAAAAATATTTAAGAGCGATTTTTGGTGTCCATTTTAAAGAAATGGGGATTTCTAATTTTAACATCCGCTGTTTCAAAATCTAATCATAGGATAGACATTTTGACAGTACTCCCGTTTGCATAAGAAAAGTAAAAAATACTTTAAATAGGTACTAAATTCAAAATTTTAGATGAACTTGAATTTCATTGACCTTTTTTAGTTTTAAGTTCTTATTTTTAATTTTATAAAATTTATCTTTATTTTAATAATTGTTCTTCAATGTAAAAATACATTTTGCTTGTTTTTGTTTTTATACATTAATGTTTCAGTGATTAAGCAAGATTTTTGCATTAGTTCTTCTTCATTAGCTGTTCCTATATTCCCATAAGGGTGAAAACATATCGGAAATTTATATAGACAGGTAGGTATTTTTTTTGTCTTAATATATATTATTATATAGGTATTAGTAGATATATTTTTTCTTCGCCATTAAAGGGTAGGTACGTACTGGAAATTTTAAATTTATATAGGTAGGGTACCTACCTACTTAAGATATATTTTTTCCTTCCTTCTAATATTATTTATTGAAGGTAGTAAGTGGTACAAAACGAATAGAACTAACAGTAATAAATACATTTTAAAAAAGCCAAAAACCTGTTTTTAACTCTTTTTTCGATTATTTCCCCATATCATAATCTATTTATCAAACGCCTTAGCACATCTTTAAATAAAATGTTTATACGTTGGTCACAGTTAACACATTTTAAAGCTCACAAACACCCTCATTCATAAATTAAACAATATATTTAGCAATGTATGATTTAAATCGCATACTAAATTAGGTTTAACAATACAGACAAGCTGACAATAGTTAAAGGTTAACTACCTCTATGTAAGTGACAGTAAAAGAAAAAACATACTTACCTGACCATTTAACAGTTAACAAAACCATCTACGAGGATTTTCTGGTAGGTAGATAGTAACTAACAAATTTTCATAAAAAAATTTCCTCGCACTTTACTAACGAAAAGAGAAAACAATAGGAAGATATTTTTTTGTTGGGCATGCGCGTCGGAGACCGTTCTATCAATCGGAATGCCCTGAGATTTTGATTTTGGGAATTAAAATAGTAAAAAATGCAATTATGCTCGGTAAGTTGCGGTTGAAAATGATAAATTTCAGCTAAAACGAGTATATAAATAAGTTAGGTTATGTTTCAAATGGTTATATTTAGTGTACGTTTGACAGGAGGTTAATTTTGCTATAACTATGCATTTTATCGGAAAAATTACCGATTCTAGATGATACAGAGCGTATTTGATCGCTCGAAAGGTTGTAAATAGGTGGGATTGAGGTTAAGGTAACTAATTTGGACATAAAATGGCAAGTAATCCGTGCAACTCTACTAAAATGTATTGATTTAGTATATAAAATTTGCTAGGCATATTTTTTCACGCGTCTACTGTCATTTTAGCCAATATGAGAGAGTTTAAGAACACGCTAAAACTTACATTGATATAAAAATAGATGACTACCTTGACAAAGTAAAAAACAAACACATTACATAAATTTAGTATCACAGTCCAAAACAGCCTTATTCTGGAGATGGTACATTATCTGATGTACAGTACCTTTGGGTTAATAGTCAATTTTTGTCGCATGTCAACGGAACACTGGTTTAAAAGTCGTTTTGTGGGATTTTCGTCGCTCCATACGCGAATCACCACGGACATTGGTCGATATTCGCGTTCATCACTTTCGTAAAGTTCGGACGAGACTGACTAGTAAGGCGACTGGCGATGTCAAGTGTAGTCGGCGTTGCCACATCGCGCCGTATACGAGAAAGCGACGTTTTGTCGAGGTGAGATCGGGGAGGTCAAGTGGTTTCAGGTCTGGACGCCGCGCTGTTCCACGCAGGTACATACAAAAACTAGTTAACGGAAAATTAACAATTCGGATATTGTGGCTGCATATTTATTTCTAAAAAAATATGTATAAATGTAAATTATGTATTATTGCATTATATAGAAATTTAAAAAATTGATAATTTCAAAAATATATTCAAAACATGAACAACCTTATTTGTATAGACTATGTGACTAATAACCTATGTTTTCGAGACTATAAAATCATTAAGGATTAAAAACCTCCTAAATGAGATGTATAGGTATGGAGGATCAAAAGTATCATAAACTGATTTTATTTGAATTTATTTCGTAGTCATTTTTTCCAAAATACTTCTAAGTATTACCCCTTGTTTTTATTGATATAAAATTCCTTTTTTGTTATTAAAATAGACACGAAATGCCATAGACGTTTTTAAAGATAAATAATAGATACCCAGGTAACACCGAACGGTTTTATTCAGTACTTCAAGGATGCTTTAAAACTGTAAAATAAAACTGCAATTAAAACCAATTAGTTTTAAAGGAGCCTTAAGGTTCTAATAAATACGTCTTCAGCATAAAAGGGCCCATTCTGAAAGAGGTCAATAAAACCAATAATAAAAACCACCATAAAACTATAATGAACAACTGATTTTAAAGCTGTTGTGAAGACCCTTTTAAAACGACTTTAAATACATTTTAAACACACACTGTTTTGAAGTGGACTTAATAATGTTAGTTACATGTATACTTTTAAAGATAATTTATATTATTGTTAACACATAAAAATAGTTTTTTAAAACTATATACATAATTCTTTTAACAAATACAAGCAATTTATATTTGAAGATGATAATATGGCTTCCACCATCTCGAGAAAGTAAAATGGCCGGAAATTAAATAAAACCGTTTAGTTAATGAACAAGGAAACGTTAAGATCAAAAGGTTTTATTTAATCGAGTTTTATACTGTTCCAAGACCATATACCCTAGACAAAAGAAAGGTTTGCTTGTGATTTATACAGTTTAGTTTTAATGCGGCTGTGATAAATGCCGCTCGGTTTTAATGTAAACCTAACTTTAAAATATCCGTATCATATCAATCGTTTGTGTTTTCTGTATTTTTAGATTATTAATAATAATAATATATTGTTTTCAGTTTTTCTAATTATTGTAGGTACACCCCTGTTTGACATGATACAAAATAAGGGGTTCATTTGGCCACGTAAAAATAGGAGATGAGTTTAATTTTATTAAGATCAAGCAGATTTAATAATAGGTTTTATTAGTTATATTAAGAATCTCTTTAAAACTACTTAAAAACTAAAACGTCACAATCTAGAACATAATAAAACCAAACAACCTGCAAGTCCTTCATAAAACTAAGTAGTTTTAAAGTTAATTGAAACTAAACGATTTTAAAACTACAACAAGACATACAAACTTTTAAGACTAATTGCCCTTATTAGCAAATCTTATTAGATACTTTAAAACCAGTATTAAATGCTAAACGGCTTTTAAGTGCCCGCAGTTTATCTATAAGGTAACTTTAAAACCAGTATCTTCTTATTTACCACATTAAAACCGTTTCAAAACTGAAATAAACCCAAAATGTTTTTATGGTGCTACTTGGGTACTGCAAGGCACTGATTTAAGCCCTCAATTAATCAGTATACTTAGCTCTCTCCAAATAAATAATTTGGGGCTTATTTGACATCTCTTAGAAAAACCTGACTGTTATTACAACAAAACAATAAAATAAAATTTGGTAATTATATAAAACTAACTAGAATGAAGATTTATAACGCTTGGCATTCTATATAGGGTGTTCCTAAACATGATTTTATAATTGAAGGAGGTAATTCCTTGGCACAATTTATAACTAAAAGTTTATATATACATGTGTCCTAAATTGCTTTGTTTCGAAGATACAGAGTGTTCAAATTTTTAAAAATAATCAATTTTTTTTGTAATAGTAGGCTTGTGTCATTCAGAAAAACGCAGAACACAAGAGAGTTGGGTTTTTAATAGGCCTTTTTATCACGTAATGAGCGCATGCCCAGCAGCCGTGTTGAAATAGCGGCAATTCAAACGTTTCGTACTGTTTTGATCGACAATGGCTGGGAAAGCAATATTATCTCTACACACAAATAAATCATTAGTAAAAATCATTGATGGTGTTTAACTTTTTTATAACTTTGTGGAAACACATAGTTGTGAGCAATTGAAAAGGTGGTTAAAGTGTCTTAGACGTTTGCAACAAGGCAAAAAAAGTGTTCTGGTTGAGAGGTTAGGTGTATCAATACTTGTTTACTGTGTAAAAAATTAATGAAAACAAATAATAATCATAACTCTATTCTAATTAATTATGCCAACCAATATTAGTACTTGCAAAAACACTTTCATGAAAGTTTTTCATGAGTATAATTAATAAAATAAATTATTTATTAGTTTGAGGATCAACATTACATTTTTAATCATATTACTGTATATACGCAATTGTTTTAATATTAAAAAACTATTGTGTAATACCAGATAAGGAGTTTCTTCTGTTTGGCCACTTTCTCTATGAAAATGTGGTGAACAAATATAAGTATCTTTAGTAACAACGTCAATCGATCGAAAACCTTTTGCGCATTTTGAACATGTTTTAATATGTATTTTGCCTGATAATTTGATAATTTTTTACCGATATTTTTAGCCAAAGCTTTGGAAAATTTATAAAATAATATGTATTGCCTTTGAATGAATTATACCGTGTGTCACTTTTACATACCTTATAACAACACCGTTTCGTTTTCTTTCCCGCACACAGCTAATATAATTACAATTGACAGCAAAAGTTTATTTTTCAATTGAGACACTTATTATTACTTTATATTTTCTTCTTTTTCTAATGAATATGCTTAAATTAGTATATATCGATTACAATTTTGTCACGTGGTCATTTTAACATGCTTGTTTACAAAAAACAGTACGAAAAAGATGATTGATACAGTCACATGCGCACAAAAAAAAATATTGTGAAAAGGCCTATTGGATAATTCAGAGACCAAATAGAAAATATGGAAAAACACAGTGGCGTGCTTTTTGTGTCAAAAATATCAATAAGGTTGTCTTTGGGTACTGCACTGGAATTAATAATTTCGATCTAATCAATTCGAAATCAGCGTTTTACTCAAACAAACAAATGTACCACCCTGTATCTTCGAAACAAAGCAATTTAGGACACATATTTATATGAACTTTAAGTCATAATATGAGCCAAGGAATTACCTCCCTCAATTACGACATGATATTTAGGAACACCTTGTATTATACTCTTCACAGACCACCTTAACCCACTATTTATGATTCATTCCCTTATAGAGCTTCATATTCATATTCATAAAAATTACAAGTTGATATCATTTTTCATTTTTGAGTTAGGATTTTTTTATATTTTAACCCCCTCAACCCCCATTTTTATTCAGATTTTTTTTTAAATCAAGAAGCTTCGTTGCCTTATAGGGCTTGATTTTTCCTGAAAATTTAAAGTTGATATCATTTTTCGTTTTCGGTTTATAGTAAGGACAAAAAACATGACATCGGACAGACGGACGTTTTTAAAAGTTGTTTAAAATTTTGGTACAAACATTTTCAAATTTGGATCAATATTAATAATTTTGGATTCTCGAAAGTATACCTATAATACTCTTCACAGACTACTATGTGAAGAGTATAATAAGAACAAATGAAAAATGTTATTCAAGTTTCAAGCAGCTTAAAGTATAAAATACAACTAAGAATAAAATTCATACCAGCTTCTTGTGTATCGGTGGATAGTATAAACCAGTGGTTCTTAAACTTTTTTTGGTGACGGAACCTTCTTGAAAAGTGAAATATTTGACGGAGCCCTAAACACATTTCGGAAAAAAAAAGTCCTCCTTGCTTTAGCCTCTTGCCAGGTCCCTCTCGTTTCTTTGCGGAGTCCCTCCAACAAAATTCTCAAAATCATATACGCCTTCCTCTTCTTGACTTCTAAAAATACAAAAATACCAAAATCATATCTAAAAAAAAGGTCCTCTAACCACCCAAAATACCAAACTCATATACTCCTTTAAAAAAAACAATAGATCCTCATGCCAAGTCCCCTTGTAGCGATAGGTGGTACTGCTTATTTTCTTCGTGGAGCCCCCGCATAAGCTCTGCGGAGCCCAAGAGCTCCGCGGACCACACTTTGAGTAACGCTGGTATAGACCAATATTACTTGATCTCTTTTTTTTTTCTTGGGAGGGGGAAACCGCTTGGCATCCGCTGCTGAGTTTAGACAGCAGGTAGTGTCTCCGACTAAAACCCCCTGTTCTTCTACTAAGCTACATATAGCCGGGTACCGTCGTGTAGATATTCCTCCGGTTATACAGCTGTCTTTATTATATCTCTTGTGGCCTCCTTCTTTCTTAATTTTTCTTTCTAATCATTATATTTTTTATTAAGCCCGTGTATTGCTTTCCATCTTTTTTCGCAGCTCAACATGTTTTCCGTCATAAACTCCTCGCCAGCGGGCCCCCTAGTTCGGCTTCAAATTGTTGCCCATCTAAACATATAAAAATCGTGTAGGCGGGGTATTTCTTTTTCCGCAGTATTCGCAGGACTCATCTAGTAACTTGCTTATTCTAAGGGTGAAGGTTTTAAAGCTACCATGCCCTGTCATGTTAAAAAGTAATCTACTCTTCTGTGCTTGCACTTCAACCACGGGTCAATCCTTGGTATGAGCTTCTTAGTCCACGCTGCCACTTCCCTTTCGTTGTCCCATCGTACCTGCCATTTTTACAGTATCTCCTCCCTGATGGTCCATTCTTCTATTTTGGTCCGCTATATCCAGAAACAAACTTTGTCGTTCCTCAGCCAGTAGATCTATGGGGACACCCCGGCCAGTACCTAGAGTGCTTCGGATGACACAGTTCTGTATTTACTCACAATCCTTAGGTTTGCTTTCATCTGGATACTGATTTTTCGACTGTCATAGCCTTGCCCCATATTGGTGCTCCGTAAAGTAAGATGGATTGTACTACCCCGCCCAAGAGTTGCC